GTCAAGCTGTAAAAAAAGGAATTTAACATATGATTTGGGGGGCATTAAAATAAGTAGGAAGGAAGAGACTGTCACTAAATGGCACGTATACAATAACTAACAGCTAGCTAACTACGTACCAGTCAGTATACCAAATGCTTATATTAAAATACAATTCATTTTACAGGTAGAGAAACTGGGACATGAAAAAGGTAAATAACTTCCAAGATCACACACCAGCAATGGAAGAAATCAAGGTTCAAACCCAAGCAGTCTTCCACCAAAGATTATATAATCTTGCAGAGTTAAGACACATATTTGCTCAATTCTATACTTCTTACTCAAAAATATATTTTAGGTTAATTAAAAATGCAGACAAAATACTGAAAGAACTAGAATATACAGGTGTGTATTTCCACAATCTAAGTGGAGAAGGTTTTACTAAATATGTGGGGAAAAAATTCAGAAGCCGTAAGGATAAAACTGACAAGCCTACCTAGATTAAAAACAAACTCCTAACAGGCTGAAAATACCACAAATAAATTCAGGCAAAAAAAATTAACCATGGGGGGGGGTTCTTATATTTGTGATAAAAGATTAATTTTCTAAAAATGCTCATTAATAAATATATTTTAAAAGGTAATCTAATATGGAAAACAAATTATTGGTCACTGAAAGAAAAATGATAATTAGATTAGAGAAAGGTTGCAGACCCGCATATGCTTGTACTCTCTGGTGTGTCATTTAGAAATATCTCTTACAAATTTTAAATGAATGTATTCTTTCTGACCCAGGAATCCAACTCCCAGGAATTTATAATCCCAGATCTACTTGTCCAAAATTGCAAAGATATTTGTACAAGAATGTTCACTATAGTAAAGATTTTTTAAAAAACAAACCTGGAGGGAACTCATATGTACGTCTATGGAGAACAGATGAAAAAATTTACACATAAAAGTCTATATAGTGAAACATGATTCAGTTTTTAAAAAGAATGAGATGAGTATACATACATGTGTTAAAGTGTCAGATACATCAGAGTATCAGAAAAAAAGAAGTTAAATTAGGATAGAATATGTAGTAGTGTGTTTAAAAAAGGTAACAAAAATGTACAGGTGTGTATATACAAAAAAACCTTTGGAAGGAAAAGAAAAAATTATATGCTGATATGTCTGTAGAAAACAGGTGGGGGATGGGTGAAAATGAGACGTTCTGAACTTTTTGTTTCATTGACTTTGGCTTGAATTACTTTTTCTTACAACAAAGAAAAGATTTTGTAAGAAAGGCAAGTTTCACTACAAGTGACAAGACTGAGATGCAAGATGAAGCTAAACTGACTCCTAAATCTTAAAAAATAAGCATAATAAGAACAGACAAAAATACACAAAGAATTAGAAACAAGTAGCACAGCAGGACACACCAAAAGGCAGAAACACATACATTAGCGTGAGAACCAAAGACCACGTGTATAAAGGGACACATGAACAAAACCTCAGAATTCTAAAGCCAATTACATGAATTAAAAACAGATTTTCACTCTGATTTTTAGGTCACAGCATTCTGAGAACTTTATTGAACATCTTGTCCTAAGAATGTCACAACTGGGTAAAGGCTGGTGTTTGCTGGTAAACTGGCCGGGGGGAAGGAGGAGGAGGCAGAGGCGAAAGCCCTGACTGACAGCACCTGCTGATTCCCACGGTGTAATGCTTTCCCCATGGCGGACTTCTCGCTACCAAGAGTTTAACCACCAGCTCACCAATCTGAATACTTAATAACTGACTCTCAGAAGTTGGTATGAGGTGGGAAGCCCCATAAAAAAGACTGGCAGGACCCCCTGGCAGGGCCACTATTCTCCTGCCAGCACCACTGGGTTCCCTGGCCCAGTGGCTCTATCTCACTTTTTGCCTCTGAAACGGCTTACTTCTAGGAAAGTGGAACTTACCCCTAAAATTCTGTTGGTTCCCTGAGCTCACTCCTGATTGGTTCTTTCTCTCCCTCCTGATTAGTCCATTTCTACAAAGCTTGTTCCTAATTAGTCAACTTCTGTTATACCTTATTTGCATATGACGTTGCAAAGTGTAGACTGGCAGCCTATAAAAGCCTGTGTAAACCTACTGACGGCATCCAAAGCTTGAAATGTTAACTCCTCTGGGCCCGCTGGCGTAATAAACCTGAGTTCTCCAACTCTCCAAGTGCTGCTTGGTCCCTCGCCCGGATACAGGTTGCTGTCACAACTGAGCTGCCACATGGAGGTGTAACACATTTTTCTCCAACAGGTATAGGCCAGCTCCAGTATACCACTGGGTTTATGGCATATTAAATACTGAGGTAAGGGTCTTCATAAAAACAACTATGGTTGTAAATTAACTACTTCAATTTTTTAAAACTACTATTTTTTTAACTTCTAACTTAAAGAATAACATATACACATTAATATGTATAAGTCATGAGACGACAGATCAATGAATTTTCAAAGTGAACGATCTGGGCTTTTTAAAAACCTATCTATAATTTTCTATCTATTAATACATAATAATTCCTCCTAGTAATTCCTCCCAATTTTAAAGAAAAAAGTTTGAAAAATATTATTTTTCCTAAACATAAAAAGTTACATCAGGTAACTTATTATCGTACTGAAATCATCTGTACTATAGACGTTAAGTGCCTTGAAAAAGTGTAAATTCTCCTCAACCTACCCTAGACCCTTAGGTCTTTTCTTTATTCAGGGGAGGGACACTAGCTCACAGTCATTCTGTTCTGAAAGCTGTGAGTTAACAAGTCCAAAGTTTCACTTCATTTTTTCTGTCTCCTAGAAAATTCATTTTTAAACTTTCTTGCAGCACAGCTCACTGCTCCTCCTGTTGGAAACAGAGGCAAATCTGTCACCAGAAAGGAAAGAAGCCTGTGAGTAACTCTCCCCTCCTCTACCCCAGAAATGAGAATTAAAATACTGACCTCACTGGGGAGACCACGTATGGCCTGTATGACACAGCACAGAAAATCAATAGCAAAGGGACTTGGAAAAAAGTGTATTTACAGAGGAGGAAATACAGTTCCCATGGTGGAACAGTCACAATCACTGCCTGCGTTCCCTCTGGGAGTTAACATCCTCACCAGGTCCCACACACGAGTCCCCAGGAAAAGCTCTGGGTTAGTGTCCACAGCCCCCGCCTTCCCATTTGGACACAGCGAGTGGATGGGTCTGTCAAAGGGCAGCCCCGCCCACCTATTCCCACCTGTCTGCCCAAGTGGTTCCCTCTCTACTCACTCCTCTCAGCGTGCAAAGGACCCCTCAATTATGTTCTGGAATGTGTATAAACCAATTTTATATGCAATAAAAAATATCTATCCAAAGTGTAAAGTACAGAGTGGTGTCGATGTCCACGGCAATGCATACACTTCTATTACCCAAAACGTTCCCCCATGTCCCCAGGCCATCAGCAGCACCCCTCCACTTCCAGCCCCAGGGGACACCTGACCTGCTTCATCATTATCAGTAAGTTTCATCTGCTCTAGAATTTCCTAGAGATGGAATCATACAGAACGTTCTCTAGGCTTTTTCCACTCAGTATGTTTGAGATTCATCTCTGTTGTCATATCAGAAATGCACTCCTTTTTAAACTGCTGAGTAGTATTCCAGAGAAAGAACAATTCTAACTTTAAGACAGAAGAGATGGCAGGAGTACACAAAAATAAAGAAAATTCCTGAAGTAAAGAGGAGGGGAACTGAATGACTGCATGCTAGTGTCCATCCCCTTGGTACAGAAAAGAATTCTGGGGTCTAGGGTAGACTTGAGCAGAATTAAAAAATGTACAGAGACATACTATAGCACTAATTATAATAGAAGTAAGAACAACCTATGGGTCCAACTACAGAGAGCTGAACAAATAATTACGGTAAATTCTTGACTGAATGCTCCACCAGCATTTTTGAGACACTCACTCTGTACTGTTTGTTTATGCATCCAGCAAACATTCACCAAGGGCCTACTGTGTACACAGTTCTATGAACATAACAGTCAAAACTCTGCCCTCATGAAGCTCACATTCAGGTGAAGAAAAAACAGGAACTTACAAACAGGTGGCACTAAATGATTTCATTTTTAAAAAGCGCACGCGTGCATACACATACACACCTGGTGTTATCTGCCTAGAAGGATGGACTAACTACCATTTATTTTAAGTCATTAACTCTGGATGGTAAGAATAAGGGCAGTTTCCCCTTATCTGCATTTCTGTCCTGTTCTCCAATAAAGATGCTGTCTTAGCTCAGGCTGCTGTGACAAAACACCACAGACTGGGTGGCTTGTAAACAACAAACATTTATTTCCCACAGTTCTGGAGGCTGAAGTCCAAGGTTAGGGTGCCGGCGCGGCTGGGTCTGCGGAAGGCCCGCTTCTAGGCTGCAGGAGGTCGGCCTCTCGCCGTGTCCTCACGTGCGGAAGGGGTGTGGGATCTTCCTGAGGTGTCTTTTATAAAAGCACTAACCCGCTTCATCTTCAGCTCCTAACACCATCCCCTCGGCCACCACGTTTCCCGCACGGGGACTTCTGAGTGAGCGCCCACAGACGTTCAGTCCACAGCAGATACGTTACTTATGTAACTGGCTTTAAGGCTCTTTTCTTAAGGACCTTGCTGAGTCAGAAAATCTATCTGCTCTCCCCTCATCCAGGACCATGGAATCTGTTCTTACCTCATCGTCAGTGTGCTGCTCAGAGGTCAATTTTAGCACAATCTTGCACTGGTCCACAAAAGTGCTTGCAATCAGCTCGGCATGGCTCAAAAACACAGGGATGTCATCCTTGGTCAGCGGCTCGTCCCCCACTATCTTGGCTATCATAAGGTCCAACAGCGTAACTCTGTAACACAGAAGAGGTTTTTACATGAACATGTAACGCTGAAACTGCACCACAGTAAAAATATTTAGAGACCATCCTAAGAGATTATTTTAAAATTCTTTACTTGTTTATAATGCCTAGCTAGGGAAAACATTTTTTGTGAATACAATTAATCTTCTTCAATCACCTATTTTTAAAAATCTTTATTTCTTTGACGTGACTTGGCCACAGAAACAAGCACCTTTTTATATCCATTGCTTTGAGCTCTGGAGTAATTCCACATCTCAGAAATGCCGTCCAATTAAGGTTTACAACACATCCACCATAGTAACAGTAGCAGAGTTAGGTGTACTGACATTCATTCACTGCTTACTGTTGGGCTAAGCGTTTGACACACATTTTCTCATTTAATCTACATAAAAACTTCCTGAGGCAGGCACTGTCGCTAGCCTTACGTTAAAGGTGGGTAAACGGGCTGAGTGAGGCTAATTAATTTTCTTTCCCAGAGTCACAAACACACAGGATTCCGCCTCCGACTCCTGAGGCAGGCGACGTAACCACTCACTTTAGTGTCTTTCTTGTGGAGGTTGGCTTTTTTGTTTCATTATTTTACTTTATAAGAACACGAATCTGAAGACCAAACCCATGCCATTTTTACTTTAATATTTACATTATCAGGCAGGTGTTTCTATTCAATCTCTTTCCTTGTCCCAGGAGAAGGTAATCATGCACAGAGCAATCCACCCAGCAAAATCAAAGTCAAACAGGGCGTTTCTCAAAATCATGTTCTGATTGAGATCATGTCTGACATGCGTAATTCTCATTTATTTCTACACGAGAGAGGATACGAGTATCTAAAATGCCCTAGCAAATGGGAGAAAACACATCTGCATTAGGCAGGGAGCATTTCTCACTAAGAAAAAAATAAGAATTGTTTACTGCTTCAAGTGGAAAATAAAACATGCTGAGCTCTTCCTGTATTTTGGCCAAATGCTGGGAAAGACCATCAGTCTGTCAGAACCATCCTCAGACCTTAGAGATTTTCAAAACTCCTAAAATCTCAGATTTCCTAGAGCAAGGATTAATCCAAAATAAAGAAAACAAATGACCCCACAACTGAGCACAAAAGACAACATACAGCTCAGTGTTAGGATATTTTCGTTCTCTCTTATTCACACATAATCTTGGGAAATGAACGGGGCGCTGTGACCACAGAGCCAGGCCATCGCTCTCCCTGAGCTGGACGGCCTCCTGGGAGTGCTAGGAACGGGTCACCTATTAAGTGTGATTCAAAGGGAACCCAAATGTGTGCTCTGAAAATATTCCTTCTGCACGGGGCGGTGTGGCACTGACTGCTGGGCATAAGAAGCCGTGATTCCTCCGTGAGGGAAGTTAGCAGCCAGTGGACTCTACCCCAAACAGGCTGCAGAGGAATGAGGAACAGACAGCTCACAGCTGTGGCCAAGGACCAAACATCAGGCGGATCCTGAAGGAGTCAGGCTGGGGGACAGAAGGGAGACCCCGGGGTGGCGGTAATCAAGGTGGCCCAGCGGTGACAGGAAGGCCTCAGGGTCCAAGGAGACCTGCTGAGGGAGACGGAGCTGAGCTAAAAGAAAAGGTGAAAGCAGACTTCCCGCCTTCCTGCCGCTCGGCCCCTCAGACCTCCCCTGGCTCAGCAGACACACTTCTGCACTCTGCCAGCGATCGTAAGATGGGAGATCCAAGGAGATGGGTAGTGAGTGATTTTGAAGGAAAAAAGGCAAAAAGCACAAAGCAACAACAACCAGAAGTGACTCTTTAAAATATAAAAATACAAACCAGGCTTGACTATTATCGGAGAATCAATCACACTTCGTTAAGTGATCCTACTTACTTCAAGTCATCGGCCAGTGAAAACTTTCAAAGGCTCCCGCTGTTAAGGAAGGAGAGGGGTTCTAAAAACTTCAGTCTGGTGCGCGGGGCCCCCCCATGCCGAGTCCCCGGCCACCTCGCCAGCTCCCTCTACTTCCAGCCACCATCAAACCCCATCCTTCTCCTAAAACAGAGGACTCACACGTAGGACATCTAACTCCAGTAGATTTCTTTCTAGAATCATTGATTTTATTAGAAAATGAATATATGTATGAATGCATGACTGGGACACTGTGCTGTACACCGGAGACTGACACATTGTACTTGACTGCATTTCAATTAAAAAATTAATAAATAAACATAAAAATTTTTTTAAAAATCACTGATTTTAATTGTGCATCACATCTGCCATCCCCATTTCTAGTCCAGAAAGCAGGCGTGTACTGAAAAGTCCTGCAGAGTCACGGAAAGCACCTTTCATATATGTCAGCGTGGATACAGCATGGAACGCCCTACTCCTTCCAGCTGCGGGGAACCACACGAAACGCGTCCTTGAAAACCTAGCAGGACACAAGTGGGCGAACAAACGCCATCCACTCGCTGACCCATCCCCTGGGGTGAAGACCACAAGCAGACTCAGGGGAAGAGGTCAGAGAGGAGCTGTCCAGAACCTCGGTGCACCAGGGTTGGGCTCTTGCTTCCTTCAACCCAGGCATCGTCACTTGAACTCCCAGCCTCAGGCTCACCAGACAGACCCCCGACTCAAGAGTCAACCTACAGTCTTCTCTCTCAACCGCCGGCTGCCAGCAACCCTCCACATCTAGCTCACGTCTGATTAAACAAACTCTGTCTCACAACTATGATTCCTGCTTCATAAAAAATACTGACAGCATGTCCATGTGAAGGATTTTAGGGGGAAATCTACAGTAAGACTTACAAAGTTACGCTTAAATTGATGCCATCTACAATTTTGAAAGCCATGCCTGCCCCATCCTGAAATGGGTAAGTTTTCAATGAGAGGACTGGAGTGAGGGGCAAAGAGGAGAAAGAGTGAGAGAGTGAGTTTTATGAGCATTCTAGGGCAGGAAATAACACTCTGCAATTCTGGAAACAAAATATCTGTAATTCAAATCCAAAGGCTGACATCTCCAACAATTTCTGAATTTATATTTGAACTACTCCCCGTGTATAATTTGCTGAATGGCATGCCACGAGGCCAGAAATTTTATTACCCTGGACAACAAGCTAACTGAGACACAGGCAGACAGCTGTTGCTGAATTAATCCCACTAGTCCCTTAATAAATTACAGTTATAAGAAGCTAACGATCATTCATTCTGGTGTCAGACAGGCTGAGTTCAAATACCACCTCAGCTACATTAATGTAATGCAGGGCAAGTATCTTAACCTTCAAAGCCTCGGGTCAGATCCCCGACGTGAAAAGCGGCAAGAATAATACCTGTTTCCCAGGGTGTTTCTGAGGATTAAATGGCAATGGCTGTATGTTGCCTTCCATACCTGACAGTGATGCTACCTGGAGGAAAAAGTCAAGGTCATCAGAGGAGGAGGGGTAATGGGAGCAGAACCATGGAAGCAGAAATAGCAACTCACATTTACTGGGTGATAATTACAGGCCAGTCACTGAGAGCCTCATACATATTTCAATTAGTAACCACAACGATTTCATGGGGGTGCCTACCATGATTATCCTCATTTTGCAGATGAAACAGTTCCAAAAGGTAACTTATCCAAAGCAGTGAGTGCACAACCCGCCTCTGCTCCTGATACTATGCTAGACAGACTATAAATCTGAAAAACTACCGCGGCTGTTCTCCAAGGGCAGTTAGTTTAAATAAATATTACTCCAATTCACTGGGAAAGGTGACCAGAAATCTGTATAAACACAGGCTCTCGTTTCTGCTGAATCATACCATGTGGATTGATTCTGACTCTGTGTCCAAAAGATCTTCACCAAGAAATCAGCCCAAATAAACTACCAGGCTGAAGGAGGCAACTAACTGTGACAACTAAAGAACAAGCACAAAAAGAGCTCCAAAGCCCGCACAGCACCGCCCCCTCCCCCGTGCTCGCCCGCACAGCACCCCCCACCCGTCGCTCGCCCGC